GGGGTTCCTGAACTCAGCCACTGATCAGTTTCAGTAGCGGCTGACAGGGACACCTGGGGAAGAGCAGCTGGGGTGCTGCCCGGTTGGTCCCCGCAGCGCTGCCCCTGCGGGGACCTACCCGGCAGCGCCCCAGCTGCTCTGTCCTAGGTGTCCAGATTCAGCTGCTGTTGAAACTGATCAGCAGCTGATTCCAGGAAGCCCGGGGCAGAGAAACTCTGCCTCTGGCTTCCTGTAGTCAGCTGCTGGTCAGTTTCAGCAGCGGCTGAATCTGGACACCAGTTCCAACTTAAGTACAAATTCAACTTAAGTACAAACCTACAGTCCCTATCTTGTACGTAACCCGGGGACTGCCTGTATTCTAGGAATCCCCGGAGTTAAATGTTATTGCTTTATGTTATTTGGGATTCTGAATTTTCAGCTGATGATAACATTGGTCCAATTTCTAGCAATTCTTGAGTGAGGTTCTGCTGAAGTAAGAGCAAAACAGAAGTATGGTCATAGAGGCAGGAAATAATAAACAGAATAATGTGGTGTTAATATCTGACACCTTGAAGACTATCACAGGTAAACACAAATGTCATGTTCCTTGAGAGTTTTCCTGATGTCTAGCCTTGATAGTCTGCAGGATATTAGATCTTTAAATATGTAGTTATGTATTTTGGTCAGGCAGAAATTTATTTTTAAAAGATTTTCAATTTTTTTTGTTCTGGTTCAGGACTTAATATAATACATGTGGACCTTGGACTTTTATAATTTTTATATTGATTTAGTTAGTATTCCATAATAGAAAAATGTATGATTTGTAAAATGTGTCCTGAAATATTAATCAAATTTTAAGACTATCACAACTCCCTAGCAAATTCTATATTAAAAATCTAAGATAAAATAGTAGATAAAAAATGCATAGTAATTGTCTGATGAAAATCCATAACAGTGGTCTGATGTTATAATGAAAATATATACACTTGAGATTAGTAGGCAGGTGAAGAACAGTCTGACATTTTCACCTATTTATTTGAAATCTAACATGTTCACATCCCAGAGAAGGTCTAGGTCAAATAGCCACAGGAGACTAAATGCTTGCCAAAAGTCTACACCCAAACATCTCTCACAGATTTCTCTGTATCTTAAATTTGTCCCAGAAAAACTGGCTTGTAGATTCTTTGTCTCTTACGCCAGATGTTTTGAAAGATAACCTATCTCTTAGTAATGAGCACAACATGTATAGGGAATAGAATCTTCAGACATATCTATAGATATTTCAAAGCTTCTTTTAATACAGGATGATGATATTTCATGAGCACTTGAAGATGAATTTCTAATGATCCGATGTACCAAGAAAGAGTACCATGATTAGTTAGGACAGTCTGGAGCTAACATCAGAATTTTTTTCTAACTATGTGCAAGAGTGTATGAAAATAAATTTCTTAGTGTAGCTTTAATGTTGCTGTTTTATATGTTTTCCCAATATTACTCATCCACTCTTTTCTATGTTGCCTCTTCCAGGTACTTCATATTTAACAGATATAGTATGGTGGTCTGGTACTATTGCAAGTAAGTATCTTATGTTTGTAAGGTAATGTAAAGAATGGAACAGCATAGATTGGATTTTAAATAGCCTGTATCATAGAGTTAGTTTTAGCACAGCTCATTAATCTTCACAGAGTTATCTTTTCTGCCAAAATGTAAGAACCTTTTAATGCTGAAACTATTAACACTCACCCAATAGCCTTACCTGTGATGCATCTGTGAATTGTGATAATTTATTTTTTTTAAAAGGCAAGTTAAATAAAAACTGTAGTTCCATAACATGCGGGTTTTGTCATATGTTAATTTTTAGATCAGAAAACACTTAGCCAACGTTTACCTTTAGTATTTTGTCATTTCAAACTTTGGCAGCTACAGTACTTTTTGTCATCTATTGCAAGAAGTAGGCTGCTGAATCCTAGGGAAGTGCTGGGTTTGAGACAAATACAGACCTCTGTGACCCTTACTCACACAAGTAGTTTTACTGAACACCCTGAATGAATTGGAGACTGTAGTCCAAGAAAAGATACAGAGTAGCTAGCATGTTTTGTTGTAAGGTCAGTCAGTGGGAAAGATTACGTCCTACCTTTGCACTTTAATCTAATCTTTCTGGGACTATTAGAATGACTGTGATACTGATCCTCAAATGTACAGGACTTGCCAATAGTCATTAGACTTTCATTAGTTGTGCCTCTATATGGCTAGACAAGCAACGCATTCTCACCATTGCTCAATTCAAGTGGTGCAAAGGAAGTGGAAGCCAGCAGGTCTCTGGATAAGGAGTCTATTTGGGGAAGTCTGCAGCAAATGTAAAGCCAGTAGAGTGGCTCCTCTGTCCTCCAGAGTCAAAACTAATAATCTAACATCTTATAAAAATACTTTGGAAATGGTTAACTAGAACAGTGGCTCTCAGCCTTTGCAGACTAGTGTATGCCTTTCAGGTATCTGATGTATCTTGTGCACTCCCAAATTTCACCTCACTTAAATTTATAAGAAAAAAAATATTAAAATGCATAAATGTCACAGCACACTGTTACTGAAAAATGGCGTAATTTCTTATTTTTACCATATAACTATGAAATAAATCAATTACAATATAAATATTATACTTAAGTTTCAGTGTATAGTATATAGAGCAATATAAATAAGTCATTGTCTGTATGAAATTTTGGTTTGTACTGGTTTTGTTAGTGCTTTTAGTGTAGCCTGTGGTAATACTAGGCAGATATGTAGGTGAGTGTGAAAGACCTCTGACTACCCCCAGGGGGATGTGTACCCTAGTTGACAACCACTGAACTAGAATTGTGTGGATTCAAAATTTCAGTCCAGTCACAAACAGCAAGAGCCAGATAGAACTGTGGAATCCAAAAAAGGGTGGATTTTTTTGTAATCTAGTAAATATCCAGAATGCCTTGGAGAAACCACAAGAGTTGATATCCTATACATTAGAAGTTGGCTGGTTTTGGATGACTAACAAAACCTTTGGGGACCATCAGTTTGTCTCCTACAAGGTTTATTCAAATAACTTGATTCCCTGATACAAAAAAGCAAGTTCACTTGCAACTGACAGTGTTAAATAAGAGCAGCTATTTTGGTGAAAACATCTAGACCCAGAAAAACACTACCATTAGGTTTTTTGGTGGTGGAACCCACAGGATTACTGCAGAAAGGAGAAGAGTTCAAATGCTATTGAGACAGATACATATAAATAGACGAATGGATAGATCTGTAATGTAAAGCTTGTAACAGGCAAGTGGTGGCAGCTACAAAAAGATGCTTTTCTGAGTGTGCTAGGTAAATGTCACTGACAGCATCCATGTGGTTTTCCAAGATAACATTGAAAATCTTGCACGTGTTTCCAGTGTTTGCAATGTGAATGTTTTGGTGTGCTTTGTCCAGCTAAAGAAACTTTATTAAAAATAGCCATGATGAGACCCTAAATGTCATCTACCAGAAGATGGTAAACCATTTTAAGCATCATGATGTTGTTTCCAAAGTAAGAAGCAGACTACAAACAGAAACGAACACCCCTCTTCCCTTTACAAATTAGTTGTAGTGGGACATTTTTTGCTCAGGGGAAGCACAGGTGTTGTCTCAGGCATACTGAAACATACTGGCTATGTCTACACTGGTGCAATCTTGCACCAGAGATATGCAAATAAGGCTAAGTGTGGAATATCGCCGAGCCTCATTTGCATATCGAATGAGCCGCCATTTTGTGGAAGAGGATCTTGCGCTAGAAGGAGCTGTCTATACTGCCCCTTCTTGCGCAAGAAAAACCCTCTTGCGCAATGCCGTTATTCCTGAAAATAATCAGCATAGCAGCATTGTGCAATAGGGTTTTTCTTGCACAAGAAAGGATAGTGTAGACAGCTCCTTCTAGCGCAAGAGCCTCTTCTGCAAAATGGCGGCTCCTTAGGTATGCAAATGAGGCTCGGCGATATTCCACACTTAGCCTTATTTGCATATCTCTGGTGCAAGATTGCACCAGTGTAGACATAGCCACTGAGTACAGGATCTGCCGAAAAAGCTCCCCGCTGTCTGCAGAGCTGCGGCTACACTTTACTTTCACTTTCGACACTGAACCTGATCGGCACAGCATCGGAACGTGAGTATGCAAATGAAACCCGGGATATTTAAATCCCGGGCTCATTTGCACTTCCAAAGTGCTTGATTTGCATCCCTCTGTCAGCAGAGGGATGCAGTCTAGACGTAGCCATTGTCTCAAAGTTTTTGTCTGTTGATAGTAACTAATATCAAAGCTGTCCTATTGTAAGGTTGTGGAATCTCCATCACTGAAGATATTTAAGAACACGTTAAATAGACATCTATCAGGGATGATTTAGATGTTTGGTCCTGCCATGAGGGTAGGGGACTGGACTTGACCTCTTGGGTCCCTTCTAGTATTCTATGATGCTATGATTCTAAGATGGGCCAGCACTTCTAAAACTAGCCAATATTTTTATAATGCAGCTTTTAATGACATTTTCAATAGATGAAATATGAAACACGGTTGTTGGGTAGTGATGTGATCAATTTGGAATTCCATTTTTCAGTGTAAGACTGTGAGGAGCAGATTGTCAGCTAGTGTAAATTATTATAGTTCCATGGTGCATTACACTGATTGAAGATCTGCCTCCTGAATAGTGTATAGTGTACAGATTGTCCTGTACCTGTGCATTAATTTAGTATCCAATAGCTTTTAACAAAGTATTTGATATTTGAATATTTCTTGCACTTTCTACCCACTCGGTGGCTTCCTAACGTCTCTTGGTAAGACCGGTGTTGTTGTAGGGCACTACAACAAGATATATGTGGGATTCCAAATATCTCATGCTCTAGAACCTAGATCATGGGATGCCTAAATTCAGAACTCTTACATCAGGAAATGTACATGCATCCTTTGACAGGGTTCCAAATTCTCCATCTCAAGACTCTGTTCCCTACTTAATTATGTAAAATGATTGAAGAGAACATTAAGGAGCAGGATTATTGATGATGCTCTCTTGGTGCTGTCTCTTTTGCAAACAGCCTTTTTTTTAAATAATACTTAAAAAAATTAAACAGCTGGAAAAACTTGTTTTTGTATAACTGAAAAGTTATGGGTAGAACTAAACAGTTCAGTAATGGTGAAAAGTTCAGAGGGGTAGCTGTCTTAGTCTATATCTGCAAAAATGATGAGAAGTCCTGTGGCACCTGAGAGATTAACAGATTTATTTGGGCCAGCTTTTGTGGGTAAAATCCACTTCAGTGGCACCTCATTTTTTGCAATTCAGTAATGTCCATCTTCCTGTCAGGTCATATGAGCCAGCATTATTGAGTAGCTTTTCATTATTCCTCTTTATTAAGGGATTTAAAAAACAAAAAACCTCTTTTGTGGTTCTCTTAACAGTGGCACTTGGCCAAATTGGAAATTTCTTGGCCTATACTGCAGTTCCAACTGTGTTAGTGACTCCTCTAGGAGCTCTTGGTGTTCCATTTGGGTAAGAATTGTATTTATTTATTTGAATGCTGTATTTCTTGCTAGTAGAATGTAGATTCTAAATAAAATCAGAGACCAGAGTTAAATCAAGACTGGATTTTTTTTTCCCCTCTCACATTTTAGTAAAGTGTAATATATGTGATTAACTCATGTTATGCTCAGAAAGATGGTTAGTATTTAAATATCGACTTATCAACAACTAAGATAAAACAAAAGTTTGGTGCAATTTTGGTATTCTACAGGTTGGACCTCCCAAAACCGGGGCTGTCTGGTCCGGCAACCAGACCATGGATGTCCTGGACCAGGGAGTCCTAGCTGGGACCCCAGTGGCAGGAGGGCCAGCAACTGGGAGCCTTGCTGGGCTAGGAGCCTGATGGAACTGGTGGCAGTGTGGCTGGGGTTAGAACCAGGGCTGGAGGCCCAGTAGCACAGCCGTGGCCAGGGATGCGGCAGCCTTTCAAGAGAGGGGGGTCATGGCAACTTGGCGGTGGTATTGGGGGTGCATGTGCAGCTGGGGCCAGTAGCAGGGGACCTCTGCTGGTGTGACAAATTCCCTCCAGTGGGCAGAGAAGGAGCAGGCGAGCAGAGGGATGACGGGGGAACAGAGGGGGACTAAACTGGCGCCCCACTAGTGTGGTGCCCGGGGGCAACTGCTCCCCCTACCCGTTCCCCCCTCACTATGCCACTGGAGAGTGTTTAGCCTATAATTGTTAAACCACCATAAAAGAATAATGCTATTTTAAAAGAAACAAAGCTGTACACTCCCTGACGTTTTTCCAGGTATTTACAGGTTCTGGTAATTGGTATATTATGCATTTGAATTGCACTGATCGTCTCCTTTAGTCTGTAAAATGTTTGCTGTTGGTGTCATGTCTTCCTTTGCCTTGAACAATGTTGATCGCAGAAAGTTAAACAAACAGTGCATTTTTTACATTTGGGCCATTTACTTGGCATTTGTTACCAAAAATCATTGCCACCTCATTACTGCTAGTGGGCCCTATGTGAAATGGATCAGTAGTCTCCCACCAGATTGCAGTAGATAGGTATCTGCCTCACGGTTGGCCTGGCTCCCTTGTGCTGTCAGATAAGAAGTCAAAAGTTGAATGAATATAAAGACTGAATTTATCTTTTACCTTGCTCCCCTGTCCTGGGTCAGGGCTGAAGCATATAAATGGACTACATAAAGGCTATTTTTGGAAGTAAACAAACGGATGACATTAGTTACCTAACTAAGGTATGTTTGTTAAGAGAATTAATAATTTAGGTTAATTTCAATTTTCTGTCACTTTGTGAAAGGTCCATTTTAGCTTCTTACTTACTGAAAGAAAAACTCAACATTCTTGGCAAGTTGGGATGTCTGCTGAGCTGTGCTGGGTCTATTGTTCTCATAATCCATTCCCCAAAATCTGAGAGTGTAACAACTCAGGCTGAGCTTGAAGAGAAGCTTACAAATCCAGGTACTTCATTCTCTTAAAGAATTATTATAGCATTGTCCAGGAACACTTATTTGAAAGGAACAGTTGCCTCACCAAAAGCAGCAACATTGGTGGTATTAAGGCTTCTGAATTCCTAGGCAAATCTACTATGTATTTGAGAGAGTTTGTGTAGTTGTGTATCCATCCGTTCGTCTGTGAGTCTGTTCAAAACCTCCTAAATGGTAAGAGCTAGGCCCACCAAATTTGGTATGCAGCTTCTTCTTATCATAACTTAAAGCAATGTCAGGATTTGGTTGTGTCAGGACAACAAGATGTGTATCGAATGCAATTGTTTCTCATCAGATGAAAAGGGAGGGCTGTGATAGCAGGGACAGTTATAGTCCAGAAAGACCACAGGGGGCAGCAAGTAAATTTGCTCCCACTACCCCAACAGCTTCAGGCCAGCTCATTTCAAGGGGTTCTAATTAAAAATAGAATCTTTGTGGGTAAAATCCTTTCACTTCTTGTTGCCTTATTATAAAATAGCTTTAAGGCCTAATAGGTTCTGTTTCAATGGTCAAGTTCATGTTTGCTTTTGCACACTGGAGGCATAATAAGAATGTACCAATAAAACATCTTGGGAAGTTTCTTTTTTCTTGCTATTCATTGGACTGACTTGCTTGTAAATCTTTCCTTACCTGCGAGGAGTTTGGCATATTCTCTGTGCTGCATGGATGCCTAAGCCACTTTAATTTTTCTCTTGTAATTGCTAAATTGGAAACTATTTAACATTTTCAGTTTCACTGAAACTCAAACCTAAAGTATACCTACAATTATTAGTAAATAATATTGTTGTACATTTAGTAGTCCAACCAGATCAAAATTAACTACTTGAATTGTGTTACTCATACCATTGACCTCAATGAAACTTAAGTATGTGCTTAGCTATTTTGTGGATTCAGGCCATAATGAATGTGGTTATATCACAACCCTTCTTCATAGGGGCTTTTAATAGAAATATAATATCAGCTTTAAAAAAAATCTTTAAATCCAATTATAATATGAAACAGTTGGGTATTCACACATTATTTGATTTACACAAAAAGGATAAGAATGGCAACTATCATAGTTATACATTGATTTAACCCATTTCAAAGGGTTTTGTTCTTTATTTGATATGAGATCCTCAGCGTAGTGTATTTATCATTATGCATTACCTTGTTTAAGTTCCTGATTGAGCCTTTACAAATCTGTAATAAATTATCCAGTGGCAAAAGTTCTACCTTTCTATTAATAAGTCATTATCTTCTTTTCTTTGTTTTTTCAGTGTTTGTGGGCTACCTCTGCATAGTACTTCTCATGCTTCTCCTGCTTATCTTCTGGATAGCACCAGCTCATGGACCCACTAATATTATGGTTTACATCAGTATTTGCTCACTGTTGGGCAGTTTTACTGTGCCCAGCACAAAAGGCATTGGGCTGGCTGCTCAAGATATCTTTCACAATAATCCATCAAGTCAAAGAGCCCTGTATCTCTGCTTGGTTCTTCTGACAGTGTTAGGATGTAGCATCATCATTCAGTTCAAGTACATCAATAAGGCACTGGAATGTTTTGACTCGTCTGTGTTTGGTGCTATCTACTATGTTGTGTTCACCACTTTAGTCCTGCTGGCCTCTGCCATCCTTTTCAGGGAATGGAGTAATGTAGGGGTGGTTGATTTCTTGGGGATGGCTTGTGGATTCACCACTGTGTCAATTGGAATTGTTCTTATACAAGTCTTCAAGGAGTTCAACTTCAATATTGGGGATTTGAATAAACCTAATATGAAGACAGATTAAAATCATATTTGAGGGGAACTGGATGGCTCGGAGAATGATACAGAGCCTTCCATTTCTAGGTCACTGACACAAATATGATTGAGATTGGCAATTGCTACCCTCGGAAGAGTGGTGGCTTGTGTGAAAAGGATTGGTGGCCATCATCCAGTTTTAATGGACAGTTGTTCACATACCCCAAATCACCATAAGTTGACATTAAGCAGTATCATTGCTGACTGCCTTAGCAGAAAGGCTAAAGAATGACTCAGCATAGAGACTGAAGTATCTCCTTGCTCCAAAAAGTTGGTCCATCCAGAAAAGGTTTGGCGACATTCTGGCAGATGAGTTTAGGAAATCTTATGGGCAGAGAACATCAGTTTCCAATGTGCTCAATCTGGTACCTTTCATGAGTAGTGTATGCCCTATAAAAATATTGCTAACAAATTCAACATTTCTGTTAATTTCCTTAAAATATCAATGTATTCATACTCCTGGCTGTGAATTGTTAAACAAACATTGATTGAATTGTGGAGTACAGGTCTGTCTGTTTTACGATAACTGCCTCCAAAATGTGGACTGACATAGATCAATGCACTGAAGGAGAAGGGTTCAAGTCACTGGTATTGTGTAGTGCATCTGACCCTTAAAATCTTCCACTAATCACTTGCCAACTACAGCTAGCTCAGCGATGCAGCTGAAACTAGCAGCCTGATTACAGGTATATATTTTTCTCATAACTCTTAAGTGCATGAAGACATACAGCATTCATCCAAGAGCTCTTGTTAATTAATGGACAGGAAGAGTGTGAAAGACATGGATGTGATGCATAATATTCCTGTATACATAGTAGGTTTTCCAGTGCCTTTGTAATCTAAAAATATCATTTAATTTGAATGTGTTTGTTTCTGATGGCCTGGATCAGGTTAGAATAATCTAGTTTTGTTGCTAATATTTGGCTGTACTCAAATTATAAGCGTATAAAGCAGACAGAAAGGTCAGAATATCTTTGGAAAGATGTACAAGGCTGAAGTCAATGCTAAGGTGCTTTAGTGGCTTCTGCAAACATCTGTAATCATAATGAGAGTAACTGATAAGAGGTCTGCTTACAGCAATCCAGGATATGTAGAATCCACTTCTATAACAAAATTTAGGAAACTATTTAATGAAGTAGTTAATTGACAAAACATATTCAGAGCAGGATAAATAAATGAACTTATGTCATTATGTTGCCTATTATGAAATCAGGCTGTGAACGGGCGTTGTTGTGAGCAAAAAGTTTTGAGAGAAGCACATGTGTGAGATTTCTTGATTAATTCAGAAGAAAGGTGGGTACAATTATGATTCATAGGAAAGCAGAGTTGAGTAACTCAGTATTTCATAGCTGTGTTGTTGTACAGCAGTATTATTTTAAAGGCTTGTGCAAGTGTCTCAAGACATGGTATGAGTGATTATGAATTGATTGGTTTAGATGACCTGGATTACAGTGTATTAATGTGTAGAAGGAAGAAAGGAAGAAATTATTGATATTCACTGATATTTAGAAGAGTGTATTGTTCTTGTCTTTAGAGTGAAAATAATTTTCATGGTATAATGTAATCAGTGATGATGATAAACCATGTCATTGGAAGAATATACCAAAAGCTTGCAAATAAGTAAGAAATTATTTTATTTTAAGTTTGGAGATAGAAGTAAACTTGCATCTACTAGGGGCAGGAGTACCTGGCAGTCCAGAGTGTCCCATAAGAGAAAACGGGGGATGCGAGAAACCATGTCAGAAGGTTACAAATGTTAGTCTATAACAGGGCTGGGCAAAATATCCGTCAAGCCACCGGATCTGGCCCTTGAGAGCCTCAGCTGGCTCCCTACCTGTCCCATCCCTGCTCAGCACACAGGAAAGCTGGCTGCTGTGGGGCCATGTGCTTCTGTGAATACTGAAAGCCTGGTGGAAGGGAGGGGCAGAGGTGTCTCTCATTGCTCCTACCCCTAGTAGCTCCTATTGGCCAGTTTCCAGTCAATAGCTGCTGCCTGTTTGCAGGACAGGAAACATATGAAGTGCCTCTCCCACCTCATACCCCAGGCTCACAGTGTTTGTGGCCGCAAACGTGGCCTCTGTAGCTGCAGTGAGCAGTACAGGAGTGTGGATGGCAGGGACCTTGGTTAAGGAACCTGGTCTGCTGGCTGGGAGCTGCCCATGTAAAGTATCCCAGTCACAACCTGCCTCTGGCACCTCAGCCCCTCCCTCCCCCAACCTTCTGTCCCTCCTCCTATTCCCCTACCCCATGTAACCCAAACCTTCTGCACCCCTGCTCCAGCCTCCATACATCTTCCCAGACCTTGCACCCCAAATTTACAGTCCCTGGTAACAGCCCTAATCCCTGCACCCCTTCCTGCACTCCTGCTCTAGGTTACAACCCCCACCCAGACCCTGCATTCCCTTCTCTTACACCACTCCCCCAGGCCAGAATCCTCTCCTACATCCACATATCTCCCAGACCCTGCACCCCAATCCCCTGTCTCAGATCACAACCCAAACCCCTGTACCCCCCTACACCAGATCACACACTCCTCCATGACCCTGCACCTCCTCCCGTACCACAGTTCGCTGCCCCGGGTCACAGCTCCCTCTCTCACCCAAACTCCGTCCCAGATCCTACACCCCCAATCCCTCACCCTGAGCTTCCTTCTACTGCCAACCTCCATCCCAAACCCCCCTGCACCTCCTTCATTAATATAATAGAAAAGTGCAGCCCTTGACCACTTACCAAATTCTTGGAGTGGCTCCCCCATCAAAAATTATTGCCCACCACTGGTCTATAACAAGATCAAGAACAGTATCACATAGTTAAGTTCATGGGTCACTGTGAATAATGCAAACCTTGTCTATTTAGAGACACAATGTTGCTAACTCAATAATTGGTGTTTTGTTTTAAAACTGTAGCTCACCAGAGTCATGTGATTACTTAAGACTCTCCGCCTTTGATTTAAGAGAGAAGTAAGTTGCTAGTCCTCAGTTACAGAGAAAATCATGAAAATGCAACCTCAGGAAACACTAAAGACTCAAAGGTAAATGAAAAGAACCCCAGATATAGTATTTTTAAAACAGTGTCATGTTTTTTGGAGGACTGACGTAACTTTTGAGTCATATCTCATCCTAGTCCTTATTTGGCCAGGTATGTTTGCTTATTTAAGTTTTACTTTATTAAAAAATGCCTATCCGTGTATGCTAGGTGCTTATGCAAATTTTATAATTATAAAATCCCAAACTAACAAAACTACCCAGTCACAGCAACCTCTTTCTACATCTCAAAAGCAAGTTGTTATAGGCAGACTCTACAAAGGAGAAGACTGAAATGCAGATGTATTCTTTGGCCTTCTGATCATCCATGGAGCTGATAAATTTCTTCAAGAATGTTCTTCTTCTCCCTAGCTCCTCATCCATGTGCTGAACTTCCTGAAATGTACTTATATTTTTAAACATCAAGGTGCCAAAAGCCAACACACATAAGGAAAAGCATTTCAAGTGGCCTTGCACATCATTACAGTCTTTTACATCATGGAGGATAAATGAAAACATTTATGTTTGCTACTTTTTGTTCAGCAAAGAGCAGTGTTCTTTTTATTTCCTCTAACTGGATCTGGCTCAATTCTAACTTTAAAAGTGTCTTGACATTGTCTGTATTAACAAGGAGTCCCGTGGGCACCTTAAAGACTAACCAATTTTAGGCATAAGCTTTTGTGGGTAAAATCCACTTTGTCAGATGCATTCATCATACCCACGAAAGCTTATGCCTAAATAAATCAATTAGTCTTTAAGGTGCCACAGGACTCCTTGGTTTGTTCGGTTTTTTGCAGTCACAAACTAACAGTACCCATCTGAGAGTAGTCTGTATTGTCACTGTTGATGTGATTCTTTCTTCCTTTCCCCTTATCCCAAACCTCTTATATTTTCTGGGTCTTTTCACGTTGCTTCTCTGGTTTAAAAAAATTGCACTGTTGAAGTGAATCGTCAGATCTTCTCTTTTCCTCCCCTCAAGGCAGGGGAGCACCTTTGAATAATATGTCTGAGTCCCATCATCTCAGGAAGAAAATAGTTGTCTCCTGAGCTTTGATCTTCCTTTTCCTGCCCCCCCCCCTCCTTTTTTTTCCCCCAAGTTGCTTCATAAATTATTAATATTGGTAGCCAAGAGCCAGATTACTTAAAATTTGATTCTAAAGCAGCAATGACAGAAGCTATAAAGTGAAGTGATTATACTGATGGGATGCATTAAAATATATTTATTCCCATGATGAAAAGTTTCATAGTGTCTGTCTTCTGTTAAATCCGTCAGACATACACAATGCTCTTAATCTGTTGAAAATACATTTTGAGACTTGTTAGTCATGCAAAATCTGAAGGATTGACATGTGTAGGCCCCATCATTATTAGTAGGTATTACCCATATAAATACCCCAAACATCCAACAGAAGAATAGATCCATTTTGATACAACCAAAAATGTTTTTTTCCTAAACTCTAAATATCTGTGTATAAAAAGCAAAATGTCTAAAGAAGATAACTATTGTACTAATTATCCAGGATACTGTATGGTGTAAATAAAGCCTATTTATTAGTTACCTGAAACTAATATGAATAAGAATTTCATATGCACTTCAACAAGTGATGCTTCCTAACAATAATTTAATAATTTTGGTTTATACTGAATGTACATGTATTTTTTTCTGACGTAACTAGCACTGACGGTGAAAGCACTGGATTTTGTTTGTTTAAAATAATGGAAGCTGTAAGCTTTACTTTTGCTTTTTTATTTTAAAATAAAATTTTATTTTTTTACTAGAAAGATTTAAAGAAAATAAATACAGGGACCTCAAACTGCAATGCACTGATCATTGGGTTTTTGTTCACATGATGTACCACTTTCACCTTTTTACTTAAACATAGGATATTGTAATACTTCCTCTACAGTCCTTAGAGAGTGTAATCTACATATAACTGCTGAAGTTTATTACTGAAACAAATTTATATCTAATTATACTTAACTTCCTGCTTTCAAGGAGATTAGTCTTTGTAATTAACTCTTTGGGTTCAGGAAATATGGGATTTAAGTACTGCAGAATGTGTTTATGCATATAGCATTAGCACCAATAATGTTAAGAGCTCTAGAACTCTTAGTGCCAAAGTATTTCATACAGCAGTATTCAAACTGAAAGATTGCAAAGGGTGAAAATTAGGAAATGGAAAGTCCAGAATACTTTTCAAAGTTGAGGGAAAATGCTTTTCAATAATTAAAAGTTTGTATTTTTTTCCATTCATATTGTTTGCAATATGTGAGGGGAAATGTTATACAGAAGGGATAATCTTGAGCTATTTTTAAATGAGAAAATTCTTCCTTTTACTTTTTTTTTGTATGTATGTGTGTTAATTTTAATGGAATTTGGAAAAATGGATGGGAACAAATATACAGTGTCAGACCTTTGGTTACTTAAAAACTACTGCAATATAGTTACTACTGGTAAAATGAAAATGAACTATTTTAGCTTCTTAATTATGTGTATATAGATTTGTTAATCGCTTACAAGTCTAGCTTACTATCTTTGCTTATAGGCATGTTGTATTTGCCTTGTATAAATTATAAAAGGCTATTTATTAAGGTTTCCAATATATAATCTATTTATTAATCTCTAACATTTTAAAATAAATGACTTATTTCTAGCTCACTACTTGTTTTGTGACTTTTTTCTGCTTTGCTCTTTATCATAAAGAAAATACTCTGTTTCACACAGGCTTAGCTATCATAGGACCTAATCCTGACACATGAACCAGAAGTATTTCTTTTGTTGATCCACAAAACTCAGAGTCCTGCTGCCTTGAATAATGGTAGATGTTCTTTTCCTATGGAAGAAGAATCGTGTGAATGATTGAATTAAGCATACACTGACAACCGGGGTCAAGGCTTTAACATGTTAATACCATTTCAGTTTGTTTACATGTGAGATTAATATTTTTCTTAAGATACAAATACCTGTTGGGGCTAGAAGTCTTTTGCAAACTCTTTTATCTCAAATGTCATTATCTACTCTGTCCATACATTTCTATATTTTGACTAGTTGTTTAGCACAGTACACCTCTCTAACCCCACTGTTGAATGAGTGTCAGCAAGTCAATAGAAAACACTTGGAAAATTATTCAGGCTGTCCATTAAATTCTGCCTTCAGTTAGACCTAGTGCTATAGTGAAATGGGCATCACTTTTGAGTGTCACTGTTATGTTATTACATCTAATGGTGTGCAGACTAACCAAAGTGAGAGTATCAAATGTATCTTTCTGAGTGCAGGATTTATGAGCAGGAATAATTAATGCTGTATTAGCTTATTTACCTGTTTTGAAGAGGTTATGCCATTGTTGCTTCAAATCAGAATTGGGATAATTTTTAAAAGGAAAAAGGCATCTTGTGAAAGAGGATAATTTGTAGTGAATAACAATTAATGTCAATACTGTGGACCATGAACCCAGGCTCCATTTTATATTCAAAAGTTGCAGTGATATTCCCTCAAATGTGATAAGATATAAAGTCTAAAAGGTTATACAAGCTGATACTTCTCTTCCCACATGCATGATTACTGAATCTTTTAAATAGGAAATAATATAGAGGGCACCTACTTTAGGTATTTTTATATGAGGAAATTTCAGATCTGTAATTCTCCACTGAAGCAGCAGCTCTCTGAGTGCACTAAGCTTTAATATAGAAATGGAGCAGCAGGTATTTTATATAGCCCTGTGTTCCAAACAGCTGTGTCCTGTCTACCGTACAGCTTTGCTCCCATGATTGCTTATCACTGGCAGAGTTGCACTGGAGGAAAATTACCTCAGTTTAGACAAATTCTTAGGAGTTCTATATAGAATATTTGGGGTGGGAACTGTCAGGTAACACCCCAAAATTTGGCAGTCAACACCTCTTACCAAAAACATTCCCAAAAAAAAGAGCTACATCAATCTCAAGGTGGCGTTCCAGCTCTAGGTGAGACTATGGCATTTATCAGTATGTACAGGCAGTCCCCGGGTTACGTACAAGATAGGGACTGTAGGTTTGTTCTTAAGTTGAATTTGTATGTAAGTCAGAACTGGTACATATTGTAGGGGAAACTCTAGCCAAACATTTCTCCAGAGCTCAGTTTTATTCTCCCACACCTCACTTCCCTCAGTCCTTTATTCTCAAGCTGAGGTGTCTGCTGAGAAAAAGCCGCTCCGCGTCTCCCTGGTCTGCTGGGGGGGTGGACGCTAGCTTCGCATCTCCCTGGTCTGCTGGGGGAAAGCAGCTAGTGCGGGGTTGCCTCACCCCGTTTGTAAGTAGGGATCCGATGTAAGTCAGATCCATGTAACCCGTGGACTGCCTGTATACAGAAATAAACAGAGAATTAGTGCTAACAGCTGTGGCCCAAAGAATTCACAATCCAAATAAAATCATCAAGATTAACCTTCTAGATGTATAATTGATCATACGGAGTGATCTTGTTCTAAAACTACCTGGGTCCCATTTTCTTTGCAGAACATAATATTGGGAAGAGAATCCAAGTATTTGGGACATCTGTAAAAATAGATTACCTTCACCAGCCAATTCAGTTCTGGCAGCCAGACTTTCAGAACCAGTCTGTTACTTATTTTGGTCTTATTAAAATTCAAAGCACTGACCATTCAAATATAGCAGTATCAATATATTGCCTGACTTCTCTTCTTTTGGAAGACTATGTCCTGCACTGGCAGAGGGATGGACTTATTTTAACAGGCTACATGGGTCTCTGATTACTATGATCTTTTGATCCACTAAGTTGTTGTGGCAAATATTTATCCCCCACTCTACAACAGGCCTTTATTCTCAAGCTGAGGTGTCTTCTGAGAAAAGCTGCTCTGCGTCTCCCTGGTCTGCTGGGGGGGAGGGAGGGGGGTTGGTTCGCGTCTCTCTGGTCTGCTGGGGGGGAAGCAGCTAGTGCGGGGTTGCTTCACCCCGTTTGTAAGTAGGGATCCGATGTAAGTCGGATCCATGTAACCCGGGGACTGCCTGTATTCAACTTGCTATTCTCTTGTACACTGGCTTGCGTCTAGATTGGCATGATTTTCCAGAAATGCTTTTAACAGAAAAGTTTTCCGTTAAAAGCATTTTCGGAACAGAGCGTCTAGATTGGCACGGATGCTTTTCCGCAAAAAATCCCCGATCGCCATTTTCGCGATCAGGGCTTTTTTGCGGAAAACAGTACTGTGCTGTTTACACTGGCCCTTTTGTGCAAAAGTCTTTCAGAAAAAGGCTTTTGCCCGAACGGGAGCAGCATAGTATTTCCGCAAAAGCACTGACGATCTTACATGAGATCGTCAGTACTTTTCCGGAAATTCAAGCGGCCAGTGTAGACAGCTTTGCGGAAAAACTTGCCAGTCTAGACACAGCCCTCGTGTTTATCTGATATTGGATTACCTGCTGCACCTTAGACAACAGGGCCTTGCTACGTCCTCTCTAAAGGTCCATTTAGCGGCAATTTTGGCCTTCCACCAAGGCGAGGGAGAAAGATGGGTGTTTGCTGTTTTCCCATAAAATAACAAAGCGGTTATTGAAGGGGGTCGATAGACTGATGCCACAGGTGCGTCCCCCCATCCTGCCTTGGGACCTGAATCTGGTACTGACAGGACTGATGAAATCACCCTTTGAGCCACTGGCCTCCTGCTTGCTAAAGCACCTGTCATGGAAAGTGGCATTTTTAGTGGCAATCACATCTGCCAGGAGGGTGTCAGAGTTACGGGCCCTTACTTCAGACCCTCCATACACTGTCTTTTTCAAGGACAAGGTCAGGCGGTGCCCTCACCCAGCCTTCCTCCCTAAGGTAGTCTCCAATTTTCATATGACTCAGGACATTGATTTACCGGTGTTTTTTCCTAAACCACACTCCACACCTAGGGAGCAGGCTTTGCACTGCCTGGATGTTCGAAGGGCTGTTTCCTTTTACAATGACAAAACGAGAGACTTTCTAAAGTCATCACAGCTCTTTATTTCCTTCGTGGAGCGCATGAGGGGAGCGCCTGTGTCAGTGCAGTGTTTATCTTCATGGATCACTGCCTGTATTACTGAGTGTTACCATGGCCAGGGAAAAACCCCTCCACGGTTGAAAGCCCACTCCACGCAGGCACAGGCCTTGTCCGTAGCATTTTTGGCTCAAGTACCTATCTTGGACATTTGTAGAGCAGCCACGTGGTCTTCTGTCCATACCTTCTCCGAGCACTATGCCATCGCACAGCAGGCCAGAGCAGACGTGTCTGTGGGTAGAGCAGTGCTGCAGTCTGTGGAGAAATAGGTAAGATTACTTTCCGACCCCACCGCCAGAGGAAACAGCTTGGGAATCACCTAATTGGAATGGACATGAGCAAGCACTCGAAGGAGGTGGTTACTTACCTCGTAACTGTAGTTCTTCGAGATGTGTTGCTCATGTCCATTCCAAATCCCACCCGCCTCCCCTTCGTCAGAGAATTTCGGAAAGAAGGAACTGAGGAGGTGGAAGGCCAACAGGGGTATATATGCAGTTATACTCCAGGGGGCTTCCTGCTGGCCCTAAGGGTCCTGCTGAGGGGAAAAAAGCTCCGAGATCCATGCACACAGTGCACACACACCTAATTGGAATGGACATGAGCAACACATCTCGAAGAACTACAGTTATGAGGTAAGTAACCTCTTCTTAGCCTATGTCTACACTGCCCAGTCTTGCACAAGAACATATGGAAATGAGGTGCGGCGATTAATATCACCACATCTCATTTGCATACTTAATGAGACACCATTTTTGCACAAGGGGATTTTGCACAAGCTGTTCTGCCACTTATTTTCAGGCAGAACGGCTGTTGCTCAAGAGGAGGTTTTTGCGCAAGAAGGAGCAGTGTAGACTGCTCTTTCTTGTGCAAAAGCCCCTTGCACAAAAATGGCAGCTCATTTGCACAAGACTGGGCAGTATAGTCGTAGCCTCAGTGTGCAGTGGGAGTCAAAAAAGCAAACAGAATGTTAGGAGTCATTAAAAAAGGGATAGAGAATAAGACAGAAAATATCTTATTGCCTCTATATAATACTTATATGAATACTGCATATAGATGTGGTTGCCTCATCTCAAAAAAGATATATGGGCATTGGAAAAGGTTCAGAAAAGGGCAACAAAAATGATTTGGGGTTTGGAACGGGTCCCATATGAGGAGAGTGAGATTAAAAAGACTTGGACTTTTCAGCTTAGAAAAGTGGAGACCAAGGGGGAGGAGGGGATATGATAGAGGTCTATAAAATCATGACTGGTATGGAAAAAGTGAGTAAGGAAAAGTTATTTACTTATTCCCACAATATAAGAACTACGGGTCACCAAATGAAATTAACATGCAGCAGGTTTCAAACAAACAGAAGTAATACTGTGGTCTTGTTTAAAAATAAGAAAACCCTTGTTTCTGAGAGCGTGAGACATGTTAAAACTGGGAGGATCACACTTCTCTGAGATTGAGAAACAGGCTCAACTAGTCAAGAGTATAAAATAAACCTACGCAGTCAATGCAAAACTATACTTGAAGTGCATCAGGGCCTATTTATTTTGACCAGAGGGAAGTATAGAGTAGCAAGAAAAAAAGTGGCACAAGGGGAAGATAGATTACAGCATATATGTAATCCCATCTATCCCTTATTTGAATAAAAAGGACAATGTACTTTTTCCGGCCGGCAGCATAACCGGGTTTTTCCCCTTAAAGAGTTAAACATCTTTCAGTGCTGTCAGGGGCAGGTTTGTTAAATCTGAGACGAGGGCGAGCGAGGCTGACTTAGGTAACTAGTCGGGACTCGCACGGGGAGGATAAAGGGACTGTGACAAGCAAACCAAGGCGGGCGGGGAAAAGCAGGTACGAGCGAGGCAGGGGAGGGGAACCCCCGCAAGTTACCTGCCTCGTGCTCCTTCCTGCCCAGTCTCGGGCTGGCTGGCGGCGTGGGAGGATGCGAGGGCGTGATCCCAGCCCGGTTGCTGGCGCAGACGGGAGCCCCGCAGGTGCCGAGGAGCCGGTGGGTAGCGCGTGTCTGCCGGCGCCCCCGGGCGCCCGGAGCCGGCCGGAGCTCTGCGGGCGCCCGAAGGCTTCTCTGCAGCGCGGCCCCCAAGCGCCGGGCCGGGCAGAACGGAGCCGCGCGGCAGGCGCGTGGGCCGGGCAGGCTGGGGGCGGGGCCCGCTGCTGCAGTCACCACCCCCGGGCTGCTCCAGGGGGGGGCGCGCGGGGACGGACCCTCCCCCCAGTTCACGGAGCGGTCACGTGATCAGGTCTCCTGGGGGCGGGGCCGCCGCTGTCTCGGCCCCGCCCCTTCCGCCGGCTGTGACGGCCCCCCGCGCCTGGCCGAGTCGGGAGGGGTCTGGTTCTCTCCATGGCGGCCGAGGGCGCAGGGCCCAGCCCCACCTTCCCGCCCCCCGCTCCGGCCCGGGGCCGCCCCCCGGCGGGGGTGTGACGTGCCGAGGCCGCAGGTGAGCGGGGAGGGCGCGCGGCCGGGGCCGCCCCGGAGTGGGGCCCGACGCGCGCGGGGGGCGGGTGGTTCCCCCTCGAGGCCTCCGGCGTGGGAACGAGGCTGGTGCCGGAATCTGCCCCGCCTCCTCCGAGAAGCGCTGCGCGAGCGGGATCGAACCCCGGGGCCGCCCCTCCCCCGCCCCTCTCGCGCTGTCACCGAGCGACCCGCAGGCACCTTCCCACCCACCGCCGCTGGGCGGCTCCTCACTCGCGGGCCGCCTCTGCTCCTACCCTGTGGCACTGCCCGGAGTCACCACCGCGCTCTGCGCTAGGGCTGCTCGCTCCGCTGCACCCATGGCAGCAGCTGGGTAACCTGTTAGAGGAAAAGCCTCTGGGGTAGGAGACTTCACAGGGCCAGGTCTCCTCTGTGCTGCCTCGTGCACTGCAGGCTCCCCTCTCATCCGACAGTGTGGAGTTAAAGGTTGGGGACTCGTAGCCACAGGGAATGTAGCATTCGAGCATGCACTGGCCCTCTGTGCCCCACCAACATTGAGGGAACTAAATGGGGTTCCCCCTACGTGTCCCTTCTCTGTCCCGCTGGGTGGCCCTGTCTAGACTCCCTCATCCTGTAGGCACTAGGAATGTTAAATATCGGTTAATTGAATAATCGATTAATCGCATGAATTCTTATCAGTTACTCAACTATTCTATAGTCCCTCGGGGGCGGGGCGGGGTGGCAGCCTGTGCAAAAGCATCCGTGCCAATCTAGACGTGCTTTTGCGGAAATACTTTTAAAGGAAAATCTTTTCAGGTAAAAGTATTTCTGCAAAATCATGCCAGTCTAGACGCAGCCTTTATATACAGAGCCACAGTGGGGCCAGACCCAATGTGAGCGCCAGGACTGAGCCAGGCTGCTGGCTAGCCTACTAAAAATGAACTGGCAAGGAAACGGGGAGGGAAATGCATGTAGTCTACAGCATTAACCTATAAGCTTTTGCTTATCAGTTAATTGGTTAACCTACTATGCTGTTACATCCCAAGTAGGCACCAGTCGCCACAGCTTGTAACAATGGTATTCACTGGCCTTTCTGGTTGTGTTAGTAGATTAATTAGCTCACTAGGCTAGAGCAGTGTTTCTGAAAGTGGTCGGCTAAACCACTTTGAGAAACCTGTTAACTGGCCGCTCCAGTGTGTTTACTTACCGGCGCCGCAGCCATGGAGCCTTGTGGCTCCCATTGGCTCCATTTCACTGTTGGCAGCCAAGGACAGCCTTGGGAAGCAGCGTGGGCTAGGCTGCCACTACCTACGCTCCCCTTAGCTGCAAACAGTGAACCGGAGCCAATGGGAGTCGCGATGCTCCTTGGCTGTGGTGCCGGTAAGTAAACACACCGGAGTGGCCAGTTTACAGGTTTCTCAAAGTGGTTTCGCAGACCACTTTCAGAAACACTGGACTAGAGGACGGTCCTTATAGATATCCACATTCTTTTCTTGCTATTCCAGGAATCAGTTTCCTAAATTTCACTCTTGTCTGAAGTATAATTTACTGCCAGATTTCTCTTTTCATTACCAGCAACTTCTGTCAATGTTTACTCTTCTCCATGCTTGTGTGACATCATGGCCTCCCCCCCCCCATCATAAAACCTTTTTCAGATGTGCTTATACTTTCTTGTGTCCCCTTGCTATCTGAAACTTTTTTCCAATGTTAGGGATGTGAATACATGCTTCACCTTGTGTAGGTAACTAATGGTGTCCCCCAAAGGTCCACACTAGGACCAGTACTTTTCAGCCTATTTATAAATTATCTGAAGAAAGAGGTGAGGTGGCAAAATTTGCAGATGATACCAAACTGCTCAAGATAGTTAAGACCAAAGCAGACTGTGAAGAGCTTCAAAAAGATCTCACCAAACTAAGCGATTGGGCCACAAAATGGCAAATGAAATTTAATGTTGATAAATGTAAAGTTTGGAAATAATCCTATACATACAATATGATGGGGACTAATTTAGCTACAGCTACTCAAGAGAGAGATCTTGGAGTCATTGTGGATGGTTCTCTGAAAAAATCCACTTAACGTGCAGTGGCAGTCAAAGAAACAAACTTTGCTTCCTGTTCTTTTCCACAACATTTAAGTTACTGGGGCTTTCAAAAGCATGTCAGTTACAGTTTAACTTTGTTAATAAAAACTTTAACTGCTAGGCAGTTGTTTTAAGAAATGAGAAAGATCTGCTTACATTATCTCTGTACTAATGTTTGGATCACTCTAGTTGTCTAACATTTGTGTATATTATATGTATTATTGAATTTTTGGATAACATGCTTTTTATAGGTCTTATGACTATATAATCAAATTGTTTTGATAAATTAGGAGAATTTATATTTTAACCAGAAAATTTAAGGTGGCTGTGATAGTGTTCCTCCCATGCTATATAAAATTGTCTTACATATACATATGAGCATAATCCAAAGATGTTTTGACAAAAAGCCTCATGTAACCTGTCAATTTTAATGTCACAATCTGCTGGATCTGTGTATCTGATTTTGGTGTATGGGTCATTCTTGAGTGTAAAGTTAGAAATATGGGTATTGGATGGTTTATGGTTTTAAATGTGCAAATGAAAGCCATCAAGGGTGTTTCCAGTGCTCTGACAACCTTAATTATTGGGTGATCAGCTTAATGACTTGTAAACAGCATTGTTTTGTCTCTTAAGTTTGAGCAGTGGTTGGTCCTGGAAAGACGTCACCAAACCAATACCGGTATGCTATTTCAACCAAGTTCTTTTCTATGGAAGGGCGTGGGGTGTAGAAATAAAGGATTCCTGCCCAAAAGGAAGTCTATTTAGGATAGAATGCTATCAGTCTCTCTGTCACCTGGCATAACACACCCAAAAAGATAGCCGGGACCCAGGTCAGTGTAAAAGATCTTCTCTGACTTGTGAAAGTTTGCCTGAAATAAGAACAGTTTTAGGGTCATTTTTCAATAAGCATTAGTGTATTAGAACTAGCTATGTGTTTTCTTTTCTTTAATTCTGTAAACTTTCTTTGACAGCCTGTGTTCACTTGCAACCTGCTGTTTGTACTTCATTAATTTACTTTTATTGACTATCAAACCTAGTGTAAATAATTATCTGTGGGGGAAACAATTAGTGTACACATCCTCCTTTCATTGTTAAAGGGGGCTTACCTGAATGAGCTTTCAATGTGTGAAAACTCTCACATGATGAAAGATGGATTTGTTTGGGGTTTTGATCCCATTTAGAGAATGCTGTACCCTTGAACTGTATTCTCCTGGAGCTGAAGTGATTCAATGTCTGCATTGCTTTTTTGAGGGGGGAACAGTTATCTCCGCTCTGTGCCTTGTCTGGGGGAGACCAGGAGATCAGGCCCAGTAGGACAGGGTAGTGAGGAGCCCAGACAGCAAGAAGGAGAGTATCAGTGGCTTTCTCAGCAAACCAGGAAGCGGCTTCAAGGAGTCTTCTCTGACTACCCCGTGTTAGCATCATTATTTTTTTCTAGTATGATTTTTATGTGTTTTCTTTATTATGGTTGTGATGGTGTACACATTTAAATGGTTAACTGATGAGCCTGAGCTCATGGGTTAACTTTCATGGTTACAATGCAAGGCCTCCTATACCCCTCCCCTCCCCCCACACCTGTATCAGTTTATCTGAGGAATTAGCAAGAGGGGGCAGGTGGGAGCAGGTGTTTATGGGGAACGGGCTTTTAAGCCATCTCCCTGCATGTACCAGCTCTCGCGGAACCGCTTACACGTATACACATCGTTTGTTTTTAGTGGTTACATGTTTACCAACAAATCCCAAACAAACCACATTTTAACATCCCTACTCTTTATATGTATTAATTTGCATACATATTACCATTTTGAAAACTGCACTTCATTTTTAAGTTCGCTCAGGACAGATCTACACTATGGGAGGAGATGAATTTAAGTTACACAACTTTAGCTATTTATTTACCTCAGTTGTATTTAGACCTACTTAGCACAAACACTCTCCCATGGTCTCCCCTTGCACTTCTTGTTCTGGTAGAGTATCAGAGTTGAAAGGAAGAGCAATTGGCAGGGCTTGACAAATTATACAATCTACTTGCCCTTGTCGGGTTCCGGCGATCTGCGCATGCGGTTCGGCGAGCCCTGGCAATTGGTGATTGATTTACATGATAAATCAACCCCCACTGGACTGATTGCTGCCCCATCCATTGGGCTGGTGGGGAAGACAAGCCCTCACGCTTATATCAATTGCTGTTTGTAGTCTTTGTTGGTGTCATGCTATGCTGCAGCTGCCCTTCCTTAAAAGCATTTGTACCTAACATTAAAGAATAAAGGGGCATGAATGGACAAAAAAAAAGCTTGAACCTGGGGTATTGTTAACCTCATGGTACTTTAATGTTAATATCCTAACATCCTGGCATGCTTGTACTAAGAATATTTATTTATGGCATTTTTGTTAGTTATTTTCATAGAGATTTCATAGAGATATTATATACATTAAACTAAAGGTTCCCAGTATGATAGCTGCTATTATCACTGAAACACTGTGTTTACCATGGAAGGTAACATAGTAAACAGGGGTGTATTTCTTGTTACTCTCATCTAAGCATCTTTTAAAATATACCATATTTCCATACTGCAAAATATTTTGAAAATGCAAGTATGTAGACCACCGGAGCAGGACAGGAGCCTGTGTATAACTGTTAATGATAACCAGGAAAGCCAGGCTTAACAGTTAACCATTTAAATGGTTATACTATTACATTTCTAACAACCTCTTTCAAAACTGAAACAAGATATGTGGTGCCATAGGTCTTGCACTAGCCATCTATGCAGGGTAGTTTCAATAAATGTCACAATTTTTATGATTATTTTCTTAGGTAGAGCCACTTAAAAGATATTTAAAATTATTTTAAATGTATTAATACTTTAGAAACTTGAACTCTTTTAAAAATCAAGTGTCTTTGCATTTTTAAACTTTTTGTTTTTTACACATTTAGCTGAAGTAAAAGTCAATCTATCTTCTTCAAACAAATCAGAATAGTAACTTTCACATACTTGTATAATGTTATGGGGACTTAATTCCATTCACTATCTCTTCTGGTGTATACCTAAAATTTTAGTCAACCATGCTATGTTAATCAGGGCTGTGAAAAATTTCATGCCCTGGTTAATGTAGTTAGGTTGACCTAACCCACGATGTAAATGTGGCTAGATTGACAGAATAATTCTTCCATCTGCTTTTCATTGTTTCTTTTCCAAACTAAGTTTTTCTTCAAGCAATTTGAGTTTGAGCAGAAATTAGTTACCACTTTAAAATTGGAATTAGCCTTAGACAAACCCTGAAGGTTTCTTTGTAAGAACTAGAAATAATTTGGGTCGTGAAAGGGTTCAAAAGAACAGGAGCTAAGAGTTGTTTGCTAACCATTTGTGCAACCTTGAACTGAGAGAGAAAATCTAAAGTGCATCTATTCTCATTGATGGAAGCTGAAAGAAAAAATGAATTCAAATTGTACCTGCCCTAGGGTATTGCTAGTCTAAATTCAGAGAATTGCCTACAATATGTGACTGAGTGCCAGTGAGTCATAATATCAGTTTTCAAGCTGTACCTGATGCAGTAGCATGATGAAATGCCCTTTCTATAGCAGAGAAATCTTAGAGCCTGACTTCTCCTGTCTCCTCATCCTCTTGTTTTGTATGTATGTTACTATTCCTGATGTCTGATTGACGTCCATTTATCCTTTTGTGCAGAGACTATCTGGTTTGGTCTTCATACATGGCAGAGGGGCATTGCTGGCACTTGATGGCATATATCACGTTAGAGGATATGCAGTTGTATGAGCCCCTGATGTTGTAGCTTTTATGGTTAGGTCCTTTGATGGTGTCACTTGCATATATACGTGGGCAGAGTTAGCAATGAGGTTTGTTGCTGGACTAGGTTCCTGACTGAATGTCACTTGCATATATACGTGGGCAGAGTTAGCAATGAGGTTTGTTGCTGGACTAGGTTCCTGACTGAATGTCACTTGCATATATACGTGGGCAGAGTTAGCAATGAGGTTTGTTGCTGGACTAGGTTCCTGACTGAATGTATCTGAGGTGTGGTGTGTGGCTGCTGGTAAGTATTTGCTTTAAGTTGCAGGGTTCTCTGTAGGGGAGGACTGACCTGTCTCCCAAGGCCTGTGAGAGTGGGGTCATTTTCCAGGATAGGTTATAGATTGTCAGTGATGCGCTGGAGAGGTTTAAGCTGGGGCCTGTAGGTGATGACCAGTGTTCTTTTTTTTTTTCCTTGTTGGGACTATCTTGAAGTAGGTGACTTCTGGGTACCTGTCTGGCTCTGACAGTCTGTTTCCTCGCTTCCCCAGGTGGGTGTTTGTTTTAAGAATGCTTGATAAAGGTCTTATAGATATTTGTGAGATTGGAGCAAATCCAATTGTATTTTAGGGCTTGGCTGTAGACAGTGGTCAGTAAGTTTCTGGTTTATGTGAGCATCATTTATTTGTGCTGCAGTGTCAAGGAAGTGAATCTTGCGTGGACTGATTCAGGCTGAGGTTGATAGTGGGGTAGATTTGTTAAAATCCCAGTGGAATTCTTCAAGGGTCTCTTTCCTGTGGGTCCATATGATCAAGATTTCATCAGTATAGCATAAGTAGAGAAGGTGTGTCAGGGGACAGGAGCTGAGGAAACATTTGAGGTCAGCCATAAAAATGTTGCCATGCTGTGGGGCCATGTTGGTACCTATAGTAGTGCCACTGTCTTGAAGGTACTGAGAAAAACAACCCTTTCAAAAATATTGGTAAACAGAGGATTTCTATATCAGAGGGGTAGCCATTCTAGTCTATATATGCAAAAACAATGATGAGTCCTGTGGTATCTTGAATACTAATCGATTCATTTGGGCATAAGTATTCATGGGCACAGACACACTTCACCCACAAACGCTTATGCCAAAATAAATGTTAGTTTTTAGAGTGCAACAGGACTTCTTTTTAGAGGATTACTGGTTATTGTTGCAGTTTCTGAATTATGATTTGAGCAATCCTTTGTAACTTTTTTCTTCCATTGTTCCAATAATTTTATATGAATGTTTGAATGCTGTGGCTGTCTTAACTCAAACCCACATTATAAACTAACTTTAACTTAATTAGTTATTTGTTGTGTATTATGTGGAATGGAACTGTGTGTGAATATAAAGAATAATACATGCTCTATATGTTTGAAAATGCATTAATCCACTTATGCTGTGTCATTCCTTTTTGCTTCTGGAACTCACATCTGGAGTGCCAAATGCTCTACAGCACTTTCTCAAAACCTTTAATAGGTTATCTGTTGCATTTCACCTCTGTCACAAGCATGTGGCTTCAACCACTTACTGTGTCTGATCTTTATTGTCCACCTTTAAAGTTCAGGTTCTTTGGAGCAGGCTGCCTGCCATCTTTGCTGCCTGCAGACTTTTTTTCCACAAGAAAATAGGTGTATGATTTATCAGTGATAATATGAAATTGTTCAGGTTTCAATATTGCATTACTCTATCTCCAGTAACAGCAGTTCTTTTGTTCCACGATCAATGTGACGGTTTTGAACACCTCAGTAGCTTACGAAATGATCCAGAGTGGAGGAAAATATGATTTCTATATTGGTCTTGTACTGGCTATGAGCTCCAGCATTTTCATTGGAGGGAGTTTCATCCTTAAAAAGAAAGGTCTTCTCCGACTGGCCAGGAAGGGCTCAATGAGAGCAGGTAAAGAATGCACTTGAGAACTTTTGTCTGTTTTTAATTTTATTTTACTACTTAGTGAATAGTTACTGAATTTTCACTGATTTTTTGTGCATTGGTTTACTTTGTTTCCTCATTGGGAGATGAAACTTCTAGATCTAAAATTTATAGCTTCTGTATTTCCTCTGTAGTCTTTGCATTATTTCTAGTTCATTGTTAGTTATAGTAAAAAGATAAAATCCCTTTCTGTAATATATTCAGTTTAATTTCAGTTTGTGTCCTCTGGATACATACCCAAATTTATAGGTTTTTTTGGACATGTCAATCAAAAACACGTCAATTGAGAATAAACTTGCTTCCATCCTACATGCAAACCCCCCCTCAAACAGTGTGATTGGAAGATCATCATATTAGCACTGTGAGAGGGTATGGAGGGGAATGGAAGTCCAGAGTGAGTGCCCCAACCGAGAGAGTGACTGCTCCAAATGAACAAACGCAGGAGCTGTCAATTTTAGTGTCTTAGATGATGTCCACTATGGAGGCAGAGATAAAAGAGGCAATTTCCAAGATATGTAGGACCCAAATCACGGCTTTCTACGTCTAAACTGCATCTTAAATTGTACTTGAAAATTATTTGGGAACCAATGTGGTCTATCCTGATTACCTGGATGCTTGCCAAAATAGATGAGCTCATGATAAATAGTGTAATTGTATCAAAATATTGAATCAGAATACATTACTGTTCTCATTTTCTAAAACGAAAATGTCCTTTGAAGACTTCCATTATGTCAGAAATACTGAAGCAAAAATTGGAATATAAAATAAGAAGAGGGAAATGACCATATTCAGGAAGATGACATTCCAGAACCTAAAAAGGTTGTATGTTTGGGGTTAATATTTTACTGTAACACAACATAAGTTTAAAAAAAAAAAAAAAAAACCCTGTTAGCATTGTGCGTTTATACTGAAAGAATTTGTTATACTGACAGTTTAATAGCAGTCAATATATTTAATCAAAACTGAACTCACATAAACAGCCTTGAGAACTGGTTCATCCCTGAGGTAATATTACATTGCTTCCATTCAACTGATAAACTTTTTGGATTTTTGCTACAGCTGACCATGCGCTTGATGAAAATGTTGAAGACTTGAAGTAGTAGCATTGGGTGCTTAGCTATAATAGTGACAGGCAAAACGTAAGAGCTGAGATGGATAGATGGAAAATAGCTAGAAATGTGCAAGATGTTGGATGGCTTGTTGCCCCCTCCACCAATTGCTCTCTGTTGATCAGTTGTATCAGTCTGAAAATAGTCTGTCCTGTTGCCCCTGTTAAATGACCACACTGAAACAGTGTATCAAAGAAACAAAAAGGTTAATGGTGTGTGTTAAGGGATGTAAGCAACTGGACTATCAAATAAGCATAAGCTTATCAGATAGACTAGTGACTCGACTAATTGCTTCTCTGCCCCCGCCCCTGATGTCTCTGTCTGAGAGTAGCAGCAAAAGAGAAGGGGGAGCTGGTGCTGGCTTAAAAGCCAGTCTTCCCCCCCCCCCCCCCCCGCGGCACCATCTCTGTGGGGCGGGGGAGGGGAGGGCAGAGGACACAGAGGCATAGCAGGGAACTGGATGTGAGTTAGGACAGCTGATTCCCTGCTTATGCCCTGTCCCCCTTCACTGCGCTTCAGCCTTTTAAATATATTAAGAGCCTGGTGGCTCTTAATACATTTAAAAGGCAGAGCCGCAGCTGGGGTAGCTCCTGGGGTTGGGAGCTAACGCTGCTGCAGCTCTGCAGTTCCCCTTTCATCAACTAATTGTCTAGTTGATGGAAATTCCATTGACTAGGTGATTAGCTGATTAAACACCATTTAACATCCCTAGTGTGTGTGGGGCTATGTCTAGACTTGCACTGCTTTTCCGGGATGCCTTTGGTATCCCGGAAAAGCAATGCTGTGTCCAAGGAACATGTCCGCTTTTTTGAAAAAGTTTTAGAAAATGCAGACACGCTCTTTCACATCCCTGTAAACCTAAGGGATTTGTCGAAAAAGCACTTTTTTCCAAAATTTGGCACTCTGTAAACACACCAAATTTTGGAAAAGCCTCTTTCGACAGTAAAGTGGAAAAAGATATGCACATTGAATTTCTTTTTCCGACTTACCATTGCAGTGTAGACCTAGCTTATGTATTAGAACCTTCCATCTCTAATGATTCTGGAGAAGTTGGTGTTTTATATGAGTGGACACAGAATGTGTGTTCTCAATTTGAGTAGAGAAAGTGAAATATTGCATGGCCTCTGTCTTTTAAGTTCACCAAAATACCATGGTGGTGTGTGCCTTACAAAGCGTACTTTAATAAAAACACTCCTTATTTTAGATAATTAACTTATTTCCCCAAGGTCAAGTTGTATCTTCCTATAGATATCCTCCTCATTTACTGTGTAAAAGGAAGAACACAAGTAGTCAGCTGAGATTACAAACCAGGAACTGTCAAAATAAAGTGCAAAAATAGGGATTTGTTAAATCCCCTTTAATTTAATTGGGTTTTTAACATTATGATGAGTCTAGATCATTATCTCAGAATAGACAAATATTGTGCACTTTATATGCCATTTCTAGTCTCAAAGAAATGTATATAAGATGCTAATCTTTAAAGCAGATTTCACAACATCTGCACATTTTAAGTTGAAAATATTTTTATTTCAGCCCTTTCCCTTATTATGCATCAGGTGGTGCAGGTCTTCGTTTAATGTGTGGTTGCATATAAGTTTATAACATGGAAACAATCTCTGTTTTGGAATACAACTGTCAATCACACTGATTGATGCTTCCCTTTGTGTTGCTGGTTAAGTGCTTGTTCTTCCAATTCCAGGTCAAGGTGGTCATGCATATCTTAAAGAGTGGCTGTGGTGGGCTGGACTTCTGTCAAGTAAGTATTAAAAAGAGTAACCAGTGTACATTCAACATTTTTTTCCCAAACATTTTGATATTTGACAATAAACAAAGCTAGAAACAGTGCATAACCTCTGTACACTGAAATAGTGTTTTTAAAATTAATTGTATTATTATTAATAATTTTGTAATTGAAATCAAATTTAAGAATAAAATTCTAACAGTATCCATTTCCCTTGTTTCTTTTCAATAGGTTTTTCTTGATCAGCTGTCAATTTGATCCCTTATTAATTTTGATTATTTTTGTATTTTTCAATCCACTAAGCTTGGGCAGTTAAAGTACATCAGTGGTTCTTAAATTTATTTGATCGGACTCCCCTTCTCTGTGTTTCCCGCAATGCATATACTGCCACATAGCTCTGAATGCAGAGCAGAGAGCAGCAGCTGCTGGCCAAGTACCCAGCACTGCACCAAAAGCAGCTCAGAAGTAAGGATAGCAATGTGAAAAGTGATATTCATCAATATCACATTTCATAGCAGACTTAGCACATCAGTGCCACCCTTATTTCTGCATTGCTGCAAGAATTCAGGACTGACACTTGGAACCATGTTGCCTCCAGGTGACTGACTGTGGGGTGGGAGGAAAGAGGGCCTGAGCCCAGGCTGTCTCCCGGTGATGGATTGTGTGGGAGAACAGCCCAGGTGGTGTGGTGTCAGCTGTCATCTTTACCCCTGCTTCCTGGGTGTACACAGCCCTTCTTGCATGAGCCCCAGCTAACACAAAATACAAAACCATCCATTGAAAAAGTTACTTTAAAATATTTGAAACCTCCCCTCTCCTTCCATTTCATTTGTTAATATTTTTAACACATCTTCTAAATGTTGCAGTTACATAAGTGTGACAGTGCACATTTAATTTGACTCATTGTAGTTATGTACTGCTTTATAGAAGATACAATTGCAGATTCTTTTGCTCATGTGAGAGTTAAATGTCCTGAATTGCTCCGATGAGAAAATGCAGAGGCTGTTAAATAAAAATGGGCTATCCTAAATTAGAGGTGAGATTTATTTTTGTTATATGGACTAGGGATGTTACATTTAATTTAATCAGCTAGTCAATCAACTAGTCAGTTTTCCATTGACTAGTTGATAAGCAGGGAAGCTGCAGTGAGGTTAGCTCCCGGCCCTGTGAACTAACTCTACTGTGGCTCTGCCTTTTAAATGTATTGAGCCTGCTGGCTCTTAATACATTTAAAAGGCAGAGGTGCAGAGTCTGAGACTGGGTGTAAGCTGGGAATCAGCTGATTTTTGGCTTTTGCCTGGTCCCCACTACCCTCCCCCCCATTTCCCCATCCCCCTTTGGAGATGGTGCTGGAGGGAATCTGCTTCTAAGCCGGCTCCCCCAGCACTGCCTGTTGCTCCTCCCCCTTGTTGCCTCTGATAGAGGCAGCAAGGGGTGGGGAAGCAACTAGTCGAGGGTCTAGTTGACTATCTGATAAGCTTTTGCTTATTGAATAGTCATCTAGTTGCTTACATCCCTAATATGGACTGCCTAGCCACTAGCTTTGAATTCTGCTTATATTAAACTTCCGTGTCAGCTGAACATTTTAGTTAAATTTCTTCATTCCGAGAACACTTGTTTAGTTTCAGAGGTTTCTCCCACATGTGTTAAGACTTCCTAATTCTTCTTTTATTCTGCAGTGGGAGCTGGCGAAGTAGCTAACTTTGCTGCTTATGCATTTGCACCAGCTACTTTAGTGACTCCATTAGGAGCTCTCAGTGTTCTTGTAAGGTAAGAACCCTTTAGAAAAAAGCACTATTTCAGAGAGGCAGAAGTGAACCTATGTGTTTAGAAATGTCACTTAAATACGGCTTTCTTCTTAACTCCGAGTAAATACAATGCTCAGAAAAATGGAAGGAGTAGCACTGACTTAACTCAGGCATAATGAGAGTCAGCAGTCTACAAGCTCCCTTGCACAGCTCAAGGGGTGGACCTCTACTTTTATCTGCAGCATTTGCTGTTTATCTTCTGCATCTCTTGAGGTTAGAAACCAGATACAATGTGCACAGATAAAAGGAAGATGAGACTAATAAATTAATTTTCATTTCTGACCAAAATCAGGATCTTACGTGTCTTAGAATATCAAGGATTTTGCATCAGTGTACCACATCATTTAGATGTCTCGGAGAGGGATTTTATATTATGTTGCATCCTCAAAATTGCTAGGAAGAATGAAGAACTTTTTCTCTAGCAATTTTGGGGAGGCAGCCACCATATTAGGTATTGAAACAAGGGAGCTGTAGAAATCTTGTCTGCCTAATGAGGGGGTATATACTTAATTCTGTTGTCAGTTTTTTTTGCCCTCTTTTTAATTTGGAGCCTGAACTTAAAATAACAATTAATAACTCTAATTTCTTTGAGAAAAGTGTGTTCTTAATTTTAAAAGACAGATGTTTTTTGATGTGTACCGTGGGCAAATTAAATTTCTACTGATTCTTAATCTCAATGTATTTCTTTTTTCCTTCCAGTGCTATTCTTTCATCCTATTTTTTAAATGAAAAACTTAATCTGCATGGAAAAATTGGTTGTTTGTTAAGTGTATTGGGTTCAACTGTGATGGTCATTCATGCACCACAAGAAGAGGAAGTAGAAACTTTGAATGAAATGTCCCACAAGCTAGGAGATCCAGGTGAGAGAAAATGTCCAGTTCATCTGTACTTATCTTCTTCCTATATTAACTACAGGCAGTCCCCGACATACGCAGATCCGACTTATGTTGGATCCGCACTTACGAACGGGGCTTTTCTCGCCCCGGAGCTCACGGACGGCGGGTCGCCACCCGTGTCCTCCGGGGCGAGAAAAGTTTCGCCTGGTCTGCTGGGGGGGGTCCAGCAAAGCCGCTGGACCCCCCCAGCAGACCAGGGACACCAGGCGGAGGCTTTGCTCCCGGGCAAACGAGCAAAGCCGCCCAGATGGCGGCTTTACTCTGGTGTCCCTGGTCTGCTGGGGGGGGCCCGCAG